GATGCTGGAGCGGATGCCCAAGCAAGCAGGGGGGGTGGGAGGAGGTGGGGTGGCCCTCAGCCCCCGGCCCAGGCCTCTGCATGGAGCACATACCTGGGGGGGCGGCCCACCCCCATGCCCTCCACGGGGGGCTCCTCGGTGGGTGCCGATGGCTGCGGTCTGTCCTCAGCCCCAGGGGCCTTGTGCCGGATGCCCAACCTCTGTGTCCACAGGCGGATCAGAGGCCTGGCCCGAGGGGGGGGACAGGGGGTGGGGCCAGCTCAGAGCCGCAGAGGGGGAGCCAGGGAGGACAGCCAGGCAGGCGGCTGGGCTGCAGCCCAGGCAAGCTGGAGAGGTGGCAGAGACACAGGAGGGGGCAGGGACAGGCCTGGGGGCCAGGAGACAAGGAAGACGGGGACACAAATGCAGCAGAGAAAGATGGGGACATGGATGAGGGAACAAAAGGGGTGAGGTTAGGATAAAGGAGACAGTGACTGAAGGAGAAATGGGGGGGCCTGGTTCTCCCTAAGACAAAGCCTTAAAAAGTTGGGGGTCACAGGTGAGATACCCCCCGGAGACCCAGAGTGAGTCCCGGATGGAATCAAATGTAGGGAGGGCAGACGGGGGTGCACCCAATGGGGTGAAGGCTGGAGCAGCTGCCAGATTCCTCTCCTCCCCAGTTTCTCTCAGGGAAGCGGCCAGGAGGACGATTCTCATACATCAGGCCTATTCCCTCCTTTATTGGCTTTTAGGACCCCCCCCCCCCCAACTTTCCTCCTCCACAGTGCCTGCCTTCAGCACAGAGGAGAGAAAGCCCACGCAGCCCCCACTGGGGAGTCCTGGCAAAACCTAATCCTCCGGGGGGACCCACCCCTCAAACTCGGTCCAGTCATTGCAAAGCACTTGAGTTCCCTGAGGTCAAAGGGTCAAGCCAAGGGCCTCAGCTGACAAAACATCCCTAGTAACTGGGGCCACCCCAGGCCCACCTTCGAAATGGGCCAACAGCGTCCCCTGAAGGGTGGGGGTGAGTCACTGGGCTGAACCACGTCTCTGGGCGGGTGGGGCCGCTGGAGCCAAACCCAGTGGTTTGAGAGCAGTGGTCGCCAACCGGTGGTGCTGAAGGCTGGCGACGCTGTCTCAGAGCGCCATGGATCAAACCAAGTCCTTCGCTGGAGGGGTCCTCAGACCGAACCAAGGCCCTTTAAAGAACAGCAAGTCAAGCAGAATCCATCCTGGGGGCCAATGGGCCGAGCGAAGTCCTTTGGAGGAGGGCCGGTCCGCAGAGCTGACCGAGTCCCTTCCAGGAAACCAGCCTCAACGCCAGCTCCCAGGCCGGCTCAGACGCTGATGGTGCGGAAGACGGTGAAGCCGGACAGGGCGGTGCTGACCAGGACCCCGGGGCACTGCGGGTCCAGGCCGGCTCAGACGCTGATGGTGCGGAAGACGGTGAAGCCGGACAGGGCGGTGCTGACCAGGACCCCCGGGCACTGCGGGTGCCAGTGCAGCTCCCTTCAGGTCAGTCTCGCCCTGGTGCACAAACAGCAGCTGCTGGGGGAGGTCCGCCAGCCCAGGGTCGGCCTCCGCGTCGCCCGCCTCGGGGTCCCGCTCCACCGCCAGGTCCCACTGTGTGATCTGGTTGTCTGCACCCGAGGCTGCGAAGACCCCACTGTCCTGGGGGTGCCACTCGACGGAGGTCACGGGGGCCACGTGCTGCTTGAAAGTGGCCACCGGGGAGCCAGACTGTGGGGAAACAGGAGGCAGGGGCTTTGAGCACCTCAGCGGAGTCCTGGGGTACCCCAGGCAGAGCCCCAACCCTCTCCAGCCTCGGGGTTCAACCAGGGCTCCACCCTTGAGCCCCCACAAGCCCAGATTCTCTGAAAGGGACAGAGGGGCAGGTACAGCTGGTAACAATGGCCTATGTCCCAGGGGCTGCTGGGAACCCTGCTTTCACCTGCCCAGAAGCCCCTCCCAGGAAGGGGGTGTCCTCCCCATGGTCCTATGGCCTTAAAGGGGCGGAAGCAGGGCTCCCAGGCCCAGGAGCAGCAGACGCAGAGAACCAAGAAGCCACTTTTCCTACACAAAGGGGCTAATTTGGAGAAGGGTCTCCAAAGTCCCAATCAGCTCGGCCATGTGACCTGGCCATGCACCTGCCTTGGGGCTGGAATCCTTTTCTAGAACCTTCCCAGGGGTGATGCTAGAGAACCCATTACACCGGCAGGGAAAACAGATTAGGACACGGTGGCCCCGGGAAGGCGCAGAGCCCTGTGAAGTGAGGGCTTTGCTCAGAGGGATCCCAGACACAGCAATGCTTCCTGCCCAGAAGCCCTCTCAGCGCGACAATCGGCGCGACAATCGGCACGTAGCTGGACCGTATGTCACATCTGCTCCTGGCCTTTCTATGCCTGTCTCCTCTCCTGCAGCGAGTGAGCTGGGCTCCGGAGGTCTTTGCCTCTTCTGTTTCTTGTCAGCTCTCCGGCTGGTAGAACTGCGCTTCCACATCGGCCACAAGCCATCCTCCTGCTGAGCCCGCTCCCTCCTCTGTCGCCCGAAGGGGCTGGGCCCAGTGAAAGGGCGCTCCCAGCTCTGGCGTCGAAGACCACGTCAGAGGGCAAACCCCCAAATCCCAGTGGCTGAGGGAACAGGAGCTTCTCCAGGCGCCCAGCTGGGAGCGTACCTTGAACTGCCGCAGGTCCCACACCTTAAGGGCCCCGTCATCCCCGCCGCTGAGCAGGAAGGGCTCCCGGCGGCTCCAGTTGATGACGTTGACGTCCCCATCGTGGGCGGCGGCAGTGGTGAGCATGCAGGCCTTGCTGGGGGCGGCCCGGATGTCCCAGATGCGAATGGAGGCGTCAGCTGAGCAGGAGCCGAATACCTGGAAGAGGAGTCTGAGCAACCAGGGCTCCCTGCACCCGACCCGAGACCAGGTACTAGTAGTGGGCCCCTCACTAGGACCTGCCCCAGCCACTCCTCCCTTTAAGACCCAGGAATCCAGCCCCGCCGGTATGGCTCAGTTGGTTGACTGTTGACCCAGGAACCAAGAGGTCACTGGTTCAATTCCCAGGCAGGGCACAGGCCAGGGTTGTGGGCTGGGTCCCCAGTAGGGGGTGTGTAGGAGGCAGCCGATGAATGATTCTCTCTCATCTGATGTTTCTATCTCTCTCCCCCTCTCCCTTCCTCTCTGATATCAATGAAAATATATACTAAAAAAAACCCAAGACCCAGGAATCCAGCCCCAGCCCCGCCTCACCGTGTCCTCGGTCGGGGACCACTGCAAGTCCTCCACGGAGCGTGTGTGGCCCACGAATGGCCGCTGGTCTACATGCCAGGAGCCGCCGTCCGTGGGCGTCCAGAGGTGGATGTTCTTCTGACAGTCACCGGTCAGCAGGCGCCCTGGGGGGACGGGAAACAACCTGGTCCCAGCTGGCCCAGCGCAGTCCCCTCCC